TATATATACACATTTTTTTTTTTTTTTGAGACGGAGTCTCGCTCTGTTGCCCAGGCTAGAGTGCAGTGGCTCGATCTCGGCTCACTGCAACCTCTGCCTCCCAGGTTCAAGTGATTCTCCTGCCTCAGCCTCCCAAGTAACTGGGACTATAGGTGCCCGCCACCACACCCGGCTAATTTTTGTATTTTTAGTAGAGACGGGGTTTCACCATATTGGCCAGGCTGGTCTCGAACTCCTGACCTTGTGATCTACCCGCCTTGGCCTCCCAAAGTGCTGGGATTACAGGCGTGAGCCACCACGCCCGGCTGCACTGGGAATATTAAAGGCATAAGCCACCTCGCCCAGCCTTTGCCCAGTTTTATTTTTGTTTTGAGACAGGGTCTCTATTACCCAGCTAGGGTGCAGGGCACAAACATGGCTTACTGTAGTCTTAACCTCTGGGTTCACCAGAGCCACCGCACCTGGCCTCAGACTAATATTCTTCTTTTTATTTATTTTTTTTGTTGTTTTTTCTTTTTTTCTTCTTTTGTTGTTTTTATTTTTATTTTTTGGTGGGGGGACTAATATTCTTAATGGTACATTTTGTCATGTTTATTTTTAATTTTTATGCATACATAATAGTTGTACATATTTATGGGGTACATGGTATATTTTGATACAAGCATGCAATGTGTAATGATCAAATCAGAGTAATTGGGATATTTATCTCCTCAAACATTTATCATTTATTTGTGTTGGAAACATTCCAACTCCACTCCTCTAGTTATTCTGAAATATACAGACTGGGTGCGGTGGTTCATGCCTGTAATCCCAGCACTTTGGGAGGCCAAAGCAGGAGTATCATTTGAGCCCAGGGGTCCAAGATCAGCCTGGGCAACCTGGCAAACCCCATCTCTACAGAAAATACAAAAATTAGCTGGGATTGGTGGTATGTACCTGTAGTCCTAGTTAGGAGGCTGAGGTGGGAGGATTGCTTGAGTCTGGGAGGTTGAGGCTGCAGTAAGCTGAGATTGTACCACTGCACTCCAATCGGGGTGACAGAGCAAGACCTTGTCTCAAAAAAACATTAAAGAAAGGCCGAGCGTGGTGGCTCATGCCTGTAATCCCAGCACTTTGGGAGGCCAAGGTGGGAGGATTGCTTGAGCTCAGGAGTTTCAGACCAGCCTGGACAACATGGCGAAACCCCATCTCTACAAAATACACAAAAATTAGCCAGGCATGGTGGCACAAACCTGTAATTCCTGCTACTCGGGATGCTGAGGCAGGAGAATCGCTTGAACCTGGGAGGCGGAGGTTGCAGTGATTCGAGATTGCGCCATTGAGCTCCAGCCTGGGTGACAGAGCAGACTCTGTCTCAAAAAAAAAGAAAAAAAAAAAGGAAATATATACAATAAATTATTTTAACTATAGCCACCCTAGGCCAGATCTAGGCTACCGAACTCTAGATCTTAGTCCTTCTATCTAATTGTATTTTTGTACCCATTCACTGTGATCTTTTTTTAAAAGTTTAACATTTTTTAAATTATACTTCAAGTTCTAGGGTACATGTGCATAATGTGTAGGTTTGTTACATAGGTATACATGTGCCATGTTGGTTTGCTGCACCCATCAACTCGTCATTTACATTAGGTATTTTTCCTAATGCTATCCTTCCTCCAGCCTGCTACCCCTCCGACAGGCCCCGGTGTGTGATGTTCCCCTCCCTGTGTCCATGTGTTCTCATTGTTCAGTTCCCACCTGTGAGTGAGAACATGCAGTGTTTGGTTTTCTGTCCTTATGATAGTTTGCTGAGAATGATGGTTTACAGCTTCATCCATGTCCCTGCAAAGGACATGAACTCATCCTTTTTTATGGCTGCGTAGTATTCCATGGTGAGTTTTGCTATTGCTGCCCAGACTGGAGTGCAATGGCAAGCGATTCTCCTGCCTCAGCCTCCCAACTAGCTGGGATTACAGCCATGCACCACCACGCCTGGCTAGTTTTGTATTTTTTTTAGAAATAGGGTTTCTCCATGTTGGTCAGGCTGGTCTCGAACTCTTGACCTCAGGTGATCTGCCCGCCTAGGCCTCCCAAAGTGCTGGGATTATAGGCGTGAGCCACCGCGCCCAGTGCCACATTTTCTTAATCCAGTCTGTCATTGGTGGACATTTGGGTTGGTTCCAAGTCTTTGCTATTGTGAATTCACTGTGATCTTTATTTCTGTTCTGACAAGTCTTTTTGATAGTCCTTTCCTCAAATTCAGGCTGTATATTTGGAATTATGAAATAATTAAGATGACTTTTACACACTGTAAATGCCTTAGGGGTTTTCTGGGTTTCCATTGTATTTCAAGGAAACTACAAAGATTTACTACTTCATCTTATAAAAGAAGAGATAATAAAAATAATTAAATTTGCTTGGCATTTTCTAGATTTTAACTAATCCAAAACTTTTGTCAGAGCTATTTTATCTGCCAAACCTAGAATATTTTTTTAAATGGACAATTCAAAAGCTCTATTTTGTTTTTCTTATTTATTTATTTATTTATTTTTTATAGAGATGGGGGGGTGCACTATATTGACCAGGCTGGTCTTGAACTCCTGGCCTCAAGTGATCCTCCCATTTTGGCCTACCAAAATGCTGGAGATTACGGGCATGAGCCACCGCACCCAGCTCGATTTTGCTATTTTTTTAGTGAAAATAAGTTTGAGAGACATATTTATATTCATTTATAAAAGTTGACACATTAACTATAGGTCAGGCGTGATGGCTCAGGCCTGTAACCTCAGCACTTTGGGAGGCCGAGGTGGGCGCATCACCTGAGGTCAGGAGTTGGAAACCAGCCTGGCCAACATGGCA